GTTGTTGTTCTTCTTCTTCTCCTTCTAATAATAATAGTGTAAGAAGAATATTATTATTATTATTATTATTATTATTATTGTTTAAAATATATCTACTCGTTATGATATGATATTATATTATACGAAAAATACGTGCGCACTTGAACAAGTTTAAAAACGGACGCTGATCGAATACCAGTTATTACGCGACTTGTCGCGTCTTGGAAACCGCTCTATCCGAAAAGCGTCGCCGCGACATAAAATGCATTCAATTGACATTCGTCCAAATGTCTTGTGTCCAACTGAACGCGTCCATTTGACGAACGTGGTGTGACCGGATGAATTCGTAGAGGGGTTGCAATTAACAGCGATACATGTTGATGGATTGTGCTGAGCGAAAACTTATAATTGGAAGTTAATGGGAGGACAGGTTCCTTCGAATTGATTGTCGTCCATATAGGGCCAGCGGCAATGGGGTATGGTGGGTCGTCACACCCCCCCTGTTGAATTTTTTGTAATTATCAGTCGGCAATTTCAGGGAGCTGTTATCCGTTGGAAATTATACTTTTTGAAAAAAAAAATAAATAATATTTAATATAGTAATGGGTCCCGGCGGTCGGCAATTGAAAATTTACCGATTTAGGAATCTAAATACTGCCGACTGATATTATCGGCTACGGAGTATGGACCATTTTACGTTATTTTCTCTTAGTTCTGATATGTCAAAAGTAAGCGATTTTAATGGAAATCTGTATGAAGTTAGTATATTGAGACAAAAAAAACAGATGATTGTAAAACACTAAATGAAATTATAGATATAAGTAATAAACTAAAGGCTGTTATATCAACATATAATTATTTATGTAGACTTGCATTCACATAACCAGTTTCTGCTGCGTCTAACGAAAGGGTATTTAGTGTTCTTAAGTTGACAAAAAATCATTTAAGAACAACCATGACTGATAAGCGTTTGAACAATTTACTTATACTCAACACTTCTAAGGATATACTTAACAATATAAACATGAGTGCAATGATAAAAAAATTGGACAACTTCAAAAGAAAGCCGTATTAATTGTATACATTTTGTTGGAAGTAGATATTTTAAATAGGTATATATTTATTTATTTTTTATGAGTTAATAATATGTATGATTATTCATATTTTACTTAATTATTTATGACTAATTGTTATGAATGTTTTTTTTATTTTATTAACTTTTACATTTTCAATTTATAATAAGTTAATTAATTAATAAGTAACTACACGTGTAACATAACAGTATAATAAACGTTTTATATACAAAATATTAATTATTAAATTTGTTTATAACACATAATAAATAAATGTGAAATACAATATTTATGTTTTATACTTCAGGTAATCTGGTAAAATTTTTTGTTAAATATGATGTACTGCCATCTGCTATCTGCTAAATTAAAAAAATTATTATTATTATTTACTTAATTTTTTGAGTTATTGACAAACACTAATTGATTTTTATTCGTACATGACTTATTTTTTAGATCTTAAAATAGTTCCGACAGCCTTGTATCTTTACATCTGTATAAAATACAAGTAACAAATATTTTAACTACGCATAAAATGGTTTAAAATGTTTTAGTTCTATATTTTGTTTTTCTTTTCACTATTTCACTTCACCTTAACACAGCAAAACCAGGAATTTTTATACTTCACGTAGTATTTTTTTTAAAAAATTATGAGTCAGCATAAATTGAATTTCAGTCGGCTATACTTGATCTACCCCCCCCCTCGATAAAATTGTATAATGCCGGCCCTGCGACCATAACTATATGGCGAAAGCAGCCCGGCCCGGCGACGGGTTGAGATTTCGGCGGACGTAACCGGGTCGATCGGTCCCGTCCGTAGAGGAGAGACGACGTCCCCGTCGTTCCAGGTGTCCGCGATGGTTGTGTGGTAACACGCCTATCCGGCTAACAGTCTCTCGTTGAGTCGACGATGAACTCGTTGCTTTCTCACTTCTTGCGAGCGGAAGGCCTTGGTTATGGAGCTCCATAGTAGTACAGCTGGTGGCGTCGAAATCCAGGAGAGCACTGGAAGAACAAATTGCTTAGCTTTTACAAAAGGCAAAGACATGGGCGGGACAGCGAAACTTACCTTCTCGGTAATAAAATCAGAAATCGAAAATCAACAAAAAGAAAATCATCGTATTCGTAAGTTCTTGAATACCACGAGTCAAACAACAAGTGACGAATAATATTGAATTTGTGTTTGAAAACGTGTTGTAGAAATTATATATATTTACATTTAACACGTACGAATGTAATTTTGTATTTTTATTCATCCAATTTACTTTATTTATTTATTTATTTTTTAATCACAAGTCTACTGTGCGATACTGTACATGCAACTGCGGAGAGTAATAATATGGTTTTTGACATACTACAAAAATACAGAGGTGTACTGCATACGCCAGGGTCTATTCTAAGAATTTTTGTCAATAACGCATTAAATTCCTTCTACTCCTCTATCAAAAGTCACATTTATAACTCTACTCTTAACTAAATATACTAAATATAATTCTTTATATGAATAAGTACTACGCTAGATATTAGGTGCACTCTCAAACTAATACTGTACTTCAAATATGAATAAATTATACCAGTACAATAAATAGAAAGCCGACGATTTGTAAAATAATTATTGGTGGAATTACTAGAACTGAATCAAAACAAACCAAGGCTCGCATACCTATTATAATGTTATATTCATAACACATATAAATAGTGTATTATATACAATATACATAATACTAAATCAAACAAGTACAATTAAGGAAACAATTAAGAAACGTATATGTTCGGCGTAGGCGAGTACTGATAAGGTAATCGACTTCCGAAAAATAATCTTTAAAATAATACATATAACTGATAAAATAATTTAACATGTAATATTAAAAATTTGAAACTCACTTCACTAAAATACGCGTAATTCCCACAAAATTATGATATTGGTGGTTTTTCAAAAATATAATTTTCAAACCATTTTACCCAGGCCCGTAGCCATGGGTTACAGGTGTAGTAACACTCCCCCCCCCATTATCCGCTTTAACATTATACTGAAGTCTAATAAAGGTAAAAATTGATCATAAACCATGATAAAAACATATTTATCATAACGAAATATATACATAACAATAATGTAAAGCAGGGATCCGGCTTCTCATTACATCGTTTTGTCTAATAAACCAAAGCCGTGGTTTTATGTCGTATCATGCGCGATTTAAAATAGATACATATGACAAAAATGTACGTTTGAAATTTTAATATGATAAAGTATTTAAATACTTTTTTATACAATAGTATATTACACATGAATAGATATTCATGTGTAATATACTAATGTGTTTGTATTCTTGTACAATAAAGTATATGTAAAGTATTTATTTTGTTGTGTATAATTTTGAATAACACCCCCCTATTGAAATAGCTAGAAAATAGCTATTTGAAATAGCTAGACGACTGAGTTCACCAACCTTTTCACACGTAATTTTATCATTATAACATTATCAACAGCATAAAAATTTACTTCTAAAATCGCAAAAAATGTTCTCGATATCGCAATCATTGCTCAACAGCGCCTTACAATATACCCTGGCATACGCGTCTATAATAAATAATAACTCATAATATACATATATATATATATATATATATATAGATGTATTATTATTGTGTAATTGTATTTTTTATAAATGTAGTTATGTTTAATATATTTATAAATGTTGTATACGATGATTTTACACTACTTTTTTATCGCTAAAATTTTTTCAATCTAACATTCTCCATACCAAAAGGTATGAACTTGGACAGACAGTAAAAATAATAGTTTCTTCCAAATGAAACCGAAAACAAAATAATAACGTATAGAAAATATACACAATGATTCATAAACCAGTTTTGGAAAATTGTTTTCGTCAAGATAATATTGTTTCCCATGTATCAATTATATGTTACGACTAGGTTACATAACAAACCCAGTAAAAAAATAAAAGTGAACACATGATCGCACACGATTAGTACTTAAATCGAATGTATATACACGTTCAAGTTAAAATTAGTTTAGTAATCATGAAATAATTTGTGAATATGATATCGTTCAAAATCATAATGAACCACATCGGCGTATGCACTACGTATACATTTCACTCGAGTCAACAATTTCCCATAATCTGTACAGTTTCACAGTGCGATAAAAAAACAATATTGTCAAATAATTATTCATTCACATTTATTATATTTTCTCCATATAAATACATATTTCTAAAAATGTTGCCGTGGTCCGTATATTCTATTTGTAGACTCAGATTATTTCGCTATTGTTGGTTGGGCCACGTGACCAAGGCTCCACATTCTTCACTTTATTGAGTAAATGAACAAATCACATGAGGTACAGATATAACACCAAAGTATGTAAATAATAGTGTTATACGCACTTATCCGGGATATGAGTCATGGATATTACTATTAATTGTTTTATTATTCCAAAAAATTGTTTATTTCAAACCATTAAAAAAATAAAAATTGAAAAACTAGACAAAACAAAATTATTCAGTTACTGGTAATTAAAATAAAGTATATGCAAAATTATTAATTGTCACACCAAACATATATTTATAATAATGTAATATTTGTACACGACAATTAAATAGCTCTATATATTACCAATAATGTACTACGATATATTCTAAAATCAACGTAAAATTACACGTAAAGTATGTATTAGAGTACAATAAATGTACAGCAAACATAAATACATTAAAAAATAATATGAGCATATACAACTTTTCAGTATATACATAAATAGAATATTAAAAAATATTTAAATTTAAATAATCAAATAAATATCGCAGATAACTAAAAAAAATTCAAAACATGATCAAGTGCATCACAATTCAATTTAAATAATAGCAATAAAACAAACGACAAATAGGCGACGATCATAAATATTTAAATATTTTATAAATTATTAAATTTAACTGAGCAATAAGAAGCACCGCAGCGTATATATTAATCACAAGAAAAGCAAAAAAATTCCGTACAAAATTAACATGAATAACGCAGCAAAAACCGACAGTAATGTGTAATACGCCATGTATAATCTGTAAAATAAAAAAAAGAAATTAGCCATTAATTTAATAATGGAAAATATTTATAACAGAACGCTGTACTAACTTTCTAGAGTGTTTAAACCCTTCGGGCAGAGTTTCTATTGGGTCTTTCACGATATACGTTCGAATCCCTACCACGTGTCTTTCGAAATATGAATCCCAGTTCAGTTTTGAAATGTCGAAATTGAATAAGGTCCGATCCAGTTTTGACAGTTTCTGTACCAGAGATCTCGTGTTGTTGTCTCGAAACACCCATGATTTTAAGCTGAAGTAGGATATAACACTGGAAAATTTGTGCATTTTCTTATATCCATCCATTAACCTGGAAAACAAATAATGCATGCGTTTTATTCATTCAAAATCGACGACCGCCAAAAAACGATTCGTCTCGACCATGACACATACTGAGGTTTTCTTCCGGTAAGTTTGGCAATGGAATCGATGACGAATGCGGGTACGATGTGAAGAAGAAAACATAGAATGATGTATTCGAAATGGTATTTCGTCAGTCTCAACAGAATCGGCCAGATCTAAAAACAAACGCATTGCCGTCAAATTATCATGTAACGTAATTATGTTCTGTAAACGATACAACAGCGTAATAATATATTGTGTTATCGTTGTTTCCCGTTCAAACAGCTCACCGCTTTCACAGAAGGCATTTGGTATCCATATTTTTTGTTGTACACCATGAACTCACCCCACGTCAATGGATTTGAACTTGAAGACACGTAATTGTAAATAGGTGGCACGAAAGAATCGTTCTCTAATCCGTCGTCTTTGACTACATCATTAGCGTTGTTGTGCTCTTTCCTAGAATTTAAGAAGTATTTTTTTTTTTTTTTTTTGTAATACATCACTATTCATTATAGTACGGTATAATCTCAGTATAGTGCAATTTTTATCTCCGTAATTAATGGTTTTAAGAACATTTTTACGCGCACGAAGCAAATGCGAAAGTAGCAGTACATCACGTTGATTTTATACGAATATATTAAAAAATAACGCGTCATGTAGGCAGTTATGGGAAGGAAAATATAAAATAAATAAAAAATGAGAATTATCATATTAAATAAATTAATCATAATCTAAATAAAAAAAATCCACAATCACCGGGTAGAAAAAAAAGACTAAAATATCTGACACGATTTAATAGCTAAATTGTACTGCAATGAAAATACCATAACATTTAAACAAATGTTTTGAAGTCACCAATATATGATCAATATTAATAGTGAAAAATGTTTAAATAAAATATTACGTCTATAGGTCAAAGGATCTGGTGTGGAAGGGTAACACATAACGTTTAGAGAAGATTCTTTTTTTATTTTATGAATCCGTCGGCTTTTCACATGGAGTTCGGCAGAGAGTTTGCGTTGGGATCTAGCTGATCATGTACAAAATCAATTACCATTGATTGTGTATGTCCCATGCACAAGCCAAAACAGCGTTGCTAACGTAGTCTCCGGGAACGATGTCTGCTATTTTCTTGGGGTCCGCGATCATGACCCGCATCAGACCTATTCCAGTAGCTGCTACGACCCCCGTCGGCCCGTAGAAATTATTGATCCATCCGCTTAAGGGTTCATCGGATGTGGCGATAACTATAAAAAAAAAAAATCAAAAAGGTAAAACTGTAGGACTAGTAAGTCTCGTACAGGTAATTGTATCCGTATATGAGGTGCACTTGAAATATGTGCTACGGGTAAGCACGTAATTAACATGCCTGAACATGAATAAGGAATAATTTATTAAATTATTGTAACCATCTGGAAACCGGTAAAATCGCGTGATTCGTACAATAAATGAACCTATGGATAAGATTGTGGCGGAAAGAGACGTTATCAAAACACTTTTGGTCTTCAAAAGTAGATAAGTTATATTTGTAAAGGACAAGATTGTAACTATAACATGGTTGAGGAGAGGGGGATTAACTACAGAAGCCACTAGGATTTGAATCAATAAAATTTTACTACAATAAAATGTGCTGTACTCACTCATCGATGGCCTTATGATGCCCACAGGTAATCCTTTGCCGTGAATAATTATTTCACCTTCGGCAATGGCTTTTGTCATGGCATATGTGTTTGGCCATTCTCCCAAGAGTCTGCAATGATAATAATACGGTTAACACGTTAAACCGTTATCAGTTATCGATTTAAAATCATTAAACATCTCATAAGACATTCGCAGAATTTGATTGTGTGTAGTATTGAATCCGCAACAATGCTACATAGCGTTCACTCGGTGTAGTAATTAATTTTGGTTCTGTTATCATCACGTTTATTTTTATCAATGTTTTGAAATATTTTTTTACAGACATATTACTGATGTTATTCGTATTTAGAATCCGAATAATGTTACGAAAAATCATATAAATGCTTTTAATTATTTATTTAACGATATTTTTTACAAGTTATGTCAGATGTTCAGTTATTTTTATTTTTAAGGCGTTTTGTGCACGTGGCATATTCCCAGTAGGTACGATAATATACTTAGTACTTACGCAGGTGTGATTCTGTTGATATAATCGTCATCGAGAGAATTAACAAGGTTTGATAATTTTTCTCCACTAATAGGTGATGGGTAAAACACCTCATCCACAACATCCCTTCCAGCACAGTTTGAATACGCAGTCGAAATATGAACGAATGACTATTATTAGGAAAACACAATGATTTTAAATAAAAATAAAACTATGGATGGCGTCATTAACTAAGCTTCTTACTTTTAAATTTTTTATTTCTCTGCTTAGTTTCAAAATATCTTTTAGAGCATTTATATTAATATTTACGGCAGTTCTTAAATGTTCGTCGAATCGAACTGTAGCGGCGGAATGTATGACTATGTTCACCTGAAAAAAAAAAAGTTGTATTTAATAACAATTTATTTTAATAAATTGTTATAACTGTTGTTACATACTTCATTTTTAAGAATTTCCATGTATTGTTCACCTATTCCCATGTTCGGCATATTACAATCACCAATAACAGCAGAGATCTTTTCTGAGTATTTCGGTTGTTCTTTTTTCATTAATGAAAATATCTAAAATTATATAATACTTTTTAATGAGATCAGAATTTACTTTATCCTTGAGATTATTTTAAATTGATATTTTTTGTATTGAAACTTTTAACTATTTTGAATTATACATATAAAATATATTAATAAGAAAAAAGATAACTTTCAAACCAAGGGAGTAATTATTTGTTTTACAATTTGTCTTGGTCTCAAATTTTTTTACAGTAAAATTATATCACTATTACACAATTTATGAGAAATTTGACACAATATTTGTAGTGAGCTGGCTTTGAAAGTTGTCCTTACAACGATTAAACAACAAGTTTGTCGTTTGTTCACTTCCAATGGACGGTTTTTAAATACAGATATATTTAAAAGTTTTTATTTTAATAAAACAAGTATTTTCAAAAATGTTGATTGTGTATTTTTTTAACAGATAATTTAGACAGTTGAGCACAAACACATTAACCACACAAAGAGTTAAATCATATCATGTTTGTGAATATTTCGTTACTCATTATTATACTTTGATTAAATTGTGCTATGTCAATGAATGGCTCGAGATCGAGGAAAAAGATCAATGATTTTCGATGCTCGAAAAACCAATTATAAAATTAACATACATTATTCTTACTTAATATGTTTACATAAAGTAAGAAATATTAATATTAAATATAAAATGTTAAGCGATTAATTCACTTAGTTGCTAAAATTATTGTGAAGAATTTTAAACTGAAAAATAAAATTGTTGTTTTGACATCTTTAAAGGTTAATATAAAAATAGATATAAAAATATCTAAAAAATCTATATAAATAATAGATATAAAAATAGAATAAGAAAATAGTATCTAACTCTACTATGTAATGATTAGATAACTATTTTGATTATACTATATTCATTAATCTAAAAAAAATTAAATTATTGTATTTATTACCTAAAAAACCGAGTTTCTAAATCAAAGACACAACCGAAAAATTAAAAATATAATATTGTTAATTATACATAAGGATTTTTTTTTTAGAAAATATTTTATACGTCTCAGTATAATTTAATAAATAAATTTAAGAAACTAAAAATTTTAAGGATTATCATCGTTTAGTGTTTAAATTCTTTACTGATATATTGAAAATTGTAGTATAAAAATATAACATAAATGTTTAACTGCAGGTACAAACAATTTATATTCATATTAATATTCTTTATTATTTTACTGTAGTGAAATAGGATCCATCAGGATGTTTAATAAATTATACATTTCTCAACTAATTTATTAAAGTGTTAAAGTAAAGATTTTTATTTCAAATTAAGTTTATAAAGTAGAAACTTTAAAATTCTAACTGTGTAACAATTTTTCGCTCATAACTATTATTATATTATTTATTATTATATTTTTATAATAATTAATTATATTGTGAATCACTGTAAAGCAAACACAATACGAAGAAAATCACATTTTAAATTAAGATAACGTAAAAAATATTTGAACTAAATTGTAAAGATATACAAATAATACAATAATTTGATATAAGGAAAAAAAAATTACATAATTATTGGCTTAATTATATATAACAATATATTAAAAGATTTTGAGTGAAATAAGGCAAGTACTGGATTTACTATAATGCATGTTTTTTCTAATAAGAAGGAAAATATAGAAAAAAGGTTAGGTTTAGGTTAGCAAGCTTATCAAACATTCAATTTGTGTATTTTAATTTTAAAAATTTGAGATTTACAAGATTTCTCATACAATTTTCTTTGCAGTAACAAAAAAATATTTTATCAAAAAGATAATATACAGTCTTAAGTTTCAAAAAAAGATAAATTTTGATGAAATCGGAATGCGAGTTTAATTAAAAAATACTTACAGGGTCATCGAATAGTTCTTTAAATCTATCTTCGGTAGTTTTCCCTTTCTTCTCTCTGATTAAAATATATACTCTTTTCACGCCGGAACAAGTTCTTTTAATGAAAACCAACAAAACATTAGCATTAATTTATTAATATACAACTATGATCGTAATATTATTGTCTAAATTAAATCATCAGTAAATAGTAATTCAAATTATTGAAGTGAATCTTTGCGTTTATTTTTGAAAAAAACAGATTTGAATAAATACTATAAATTAAAAAAATGATTAGTTAGTACTATCTATTTAACTATTAGTTATTCTAACTATTAGTTTTTCTCTTAAAATACGTATTTTAAGAGAAAAACTAATATGTACAAAAGATTGGGTTTAAATTGCTCTAACTTTGGTCGAAATTTCGTAAAAAAATACCTTAAATTTGATTTAATTCATAAAACGTTCAAATTGGTTTTATAAATTTCAAATATTTTCTTACTTCATCTTATATTTATATACTAATTTATATCTAAACATATTCTAACATAAATTAAAATAATATAGAATATAATAAATATGAAAAAAACTATACAATGGCAACGGAAAGTTCGGGTTGGAGGTTTAAATCAGTGGTTTTCAACATTTTACGAATAGTTACCCCAATTTTTACTTTTTCTTTAATTCTTTAATTTCTTAAATTGTTAAATCTTATATGAAGCAGATTATGTTGGCATTATTTAAAGTATCCTTTAAGAATTGAAGGAAGTTATTATGAGTGAATGAGTAAGTTTATTTATACTATTATGTACGAAGAAAAGTTAGAATAACATTTCATTAATGAACCAATCAACTAATTGAAAATAAATTCATTCGTAAATTTAATATTTAAAAAATATTTATAAGATCAAATAACACCATTAAGTGTGAGTTTTGATAATTAACCAACTCTATAAAATAATTTTAATATTCTTTGAATTTTTTGTGATCACAATGAATGAAATAATAAAATAAGAACATTCATTTTTCCATCAGATCCTGTGTTCTATATACATTGTTAATATATTATGTATTTTATAAGCAATTAAAAATCAATTAAATAGATTACAATAAAACAATAAAATGAAAATCAATGATTCGATAAATTTTCAGTTACATTGATAAAATAGTAAACTATTCAAATGATTAACAAATATGATATGACTATTTATCAATCGTGTTTGGGTTTATTGATTTCAACTTATGTCGGTGAAAAAATGATACCTTATTAATTTTTCCAGTATTAGATTTCCCATGAATCCAGTAGCACCCGTCAAAAATACAGTCGTATCATTATAAAACGATTGAATTTCTGATTGTTGAGTTGTACTCTGACAGTTTGGGTTGTAATTATCCATTTGCGGAGTGGCAGTCATCCTGGAACATTAAGCAAATGATTATTATTTTCGTTATGCAACATTATTCAAGTTCATTAAAACTAATATGTTATCAGCCAGTGGTAATACTACCGTGCACACCTTTTCCACAACAAATGTGTTGTTTTTTTTTCATTTTGAGGGTAAAAAGTTAAGATTAAATTCCTTAAATTTAGTACCATGCGACTATCTTACGAAGTACTATTTCTATTTAGTTATGATCAATATTTTATTAATATATATAAATTAAACATTTACAAAGTCAAATGTTACTTACAGTTACCTGTACTAACTTTACAAAAAGAACAAATTAAAAAAAAAAAAAAGGAACCACCATACATATTAATATTTATAAGAACTGTACCTACATAAATTATGGTTACTAGTTAGGCTATAAGTTCATAGATTAATAAATGCCCCGATTGTCAACCTTAGTTCATCATACATTTTTTTTTTATCTTTGTGAAATTTATTTTTAATTTGTAGGCATATTATAACCATCCGCTTTTAAATTATTTAAAGTTATACAGAAAAATAACATGAATAGGTGAACAAATGACAAATACATTTATTAAAATTGTTAAACGAATATTGAGATGTTTTAATAATAATTTATTAATAGTTTTCTACTGCTTCAACCTTTGACCTTATTATTCAAGAAAACAATACATTTATTCTAGGACAGACATAGACATATATCATGTGAATTTGAGTTAATTAACGATTTATATTGTTTATTAAATATTAGTATACTCGGTCATAATCGTAGAGGATTTTTCGAATTTTGTAGTTTACGTAATTCACAAATGTTTCATAAACTATTCGTAATGAATAATTTTAATTAAGTAATACGATGTTAACTATGACTATTAGTGGATTAATGTAAAGAATTTGTTATAAAATATCACGTATCTACATTTATAAGAACATTTAGGAAAATAACTAGAACTATAAATGTGTTGGTATCTACTCGTAAAACATTATAATTTGTGTACGTTTTTGAATATTTGTACATGATATTATTCAAAAATAAATGCATAAACGAAAAATATACTATTACGAAGTATTCTATATTAATCTATATTTTTTCGATTCCATAAAAATAGGAAAATCTCTGAGTTTACTAACTCAATTTTATTGATATATATATATATATATATATATATATATATATATATATATATATATTACGAATAAAGAATTCAAAATCGAAAACTTTATTATTTTACCTATATAGCTGTACACTGAACTACAAAAAATTTAGTCACATCAATTTCTCATACGCGTGTTTTAATGAACTTCTTAATATTTAACGAACGGTCGAACATCATTTCGGTTGTACGACCCACTGTAAAAACCGTCGAACCGCAGCGATACAGTAACGTGCAGTTATCCGCACCCGGACGAATGAAAAAAAAAATCGGCATTTCAATGTGAAATCGAAAAGATTTTTTTTTTTTTTTTTTTGCTGTCGGCGCCAACCAAAACTCGTGTACACGAGAGACTTGGTCGGTCGACACGTGCTCGACCGTTCGCTGCAAAACGACTCGTCTCGATCGTTCGAAGACGTGCGAACCTCGCGCGGTTCAATATCGTTCAAGAAGTTCGGGCAAAGCGTTCGCAGAAAATTACGCGCGTCGTCGTGAGATCGTGGCGAGAGCGGTTTTAAAACATCGGAGCTTTGAACGCTGCGCGCGAAAGTTGTGCACGGTCGCGCGCGCGTTGAACATTACCTGTTGGCCCGAAAGTGGTTCAGGTGATTTCGTTTTGCGATCCGGACGACTATACGAGTTCACCGCGCGTGTTCGTACCGGGGGACAACGTACCGTCCGTGCGTTCAACCCCGAGGGAAACGATCGGGTACGATTTTCCCGAACACAAAGACGTCGTTACGGGACAAGCGGTGTGCGGATGTTCCGTCCGGCAGGTGCGCAGTTCGGTTGCTCCGGTGGAACTGACGAGTACTGCGACGGGTGCCCGTAACGTATCACACCGGCGGTGCTCTTGAACGAAACGTTGACGGTCTAGGTCGCGCTGAGAACAGGGGGATTTCCCCCTGACGGCGGGCCGCGTGTCCTGAGCGCGCGCGCGCGCCAACAACCGGTTCTCGTATATTTATTATTTTTTTTTTTTTTTTTTTTTTTTGAATTTTTTTTTCCCGTTCGCGAAGACGTCGCACAGTGGGCGGAATTTCGAAAATAGCTGGAAACAAATAACAAATGTAATATATTTAATTTTAAATGTTTCAATGTACTTATAACGTTACGGTACAAGTTTTTAATAACATTTAAGATTTTTTTTATAATTTATCGGGCATATACTAAAAAAAAACATTAAGCAAATTTAACATGCAACACACTATTTCGTTTAAAATTTGAGTCGGTAATCATAACCGTTTTTTCGGAAGTAATTGAATTCGAACAGGTTAAAAGAGTCAACACTTTGGAGGATAATGACATCATTTTTTTTAGAAGGATGTGACCGTATTGACGATATAACCGGATCAGAAGTAACAATTAGACGATGAAGAAGATCAATATTTGTATCAATTCGACTGGTTTTCCGAGTGAAATGCTCTCGAAAAGATTTATAATGCTTATTTCTTGCTCCGAGGATTCCTCAGATAGTTGTCCAATTGGTAGTAAGCAATGTTTTATAACATCAGTACCGTGTAATAAAATTTTATGAACACTAGCCGGCATATAATACCGGTTATAGTGTTCTATGTAAAGTTTTGCCGTGTCCATAGCATACTTTTTTTTAAAAATTCAAACAATTCTCTACGCATGACACCTAACAAAAATAATTATTACTTTGATAGAAGCAATGAAGAGCAAATAAAATATATGTTTAATTGAATTTTATGAACTTTGGAATAATTTAGCATAGTATTTTCAGAGGTCAATTTTAACCATTTTTTTTTTAAACTGCTATCAAAGTTAAAATATTTAAAATTAAACGTAAAATGTTGCATTGGTAATTTATAATACTACCAAATGGGTGGTTAAATTTATAAACATAAAAAATTAATTCAAACACACCTTCTTTAGTATCATCCATATTAAATAAAATATATAATGCAGAAATCAAATGACTCTTACAACTCGAAAAGTCAAACGCAAATAACTCAAAATATTGTACGACAGACCAACCTATCGCAGATTATCGTTTACAATTTGAAGCTTGTTAAATATTATTATATCTTAATTACTACAGATAGGTGTTATATTATCTTGACTATAGTAATATAATAAACAAATTGTATAAGATAAAAGCAATTATACGATAAGTGAAAATTATATTTTTTCCACCTATTTTCGAAATTCCGCCCACTGTGCGTCGCGGGGAAAACGCGAAATCCGAAAACTATAACGTCCGACGGTCACGCGAATCGTTCCGATACGACTCGTCGCCGCCACGGTCACTGCAGACCGAACCGACCGCAATGCAATAGATCTGTTCGAAGACGCGACCGAATGCACGACGAACGTTTGCATAACGCACGTCTTGTAGTTTCGAAACGCGTTATTAGATTTTTACGGTTTTCAATCGAGTCCGCGTTTAATCTCTAACGAACCGAGAATCGTAAAACTATAAACGATTTGTGTATGCTCTTCAATAACGGGGTACATTTTTCGTTTTTTAAATTTTCATTTTAATCGCAATCGTAAAAAAAAAAAACTCGGTTTTACGTTATTGCGTATATTTCGGTTATTTCAAATGCACGTGCGCAGAAGTATTTCCCATGATCTGCGTGTTATGAGTTCCGAACCCTACTACTCTACTACCCTGCTCATCACATAACTGCGCATGCCAGTACAGTTATATATTAGTATAAATTATAATTATATTATTATATGATTATAGTTAGGGCTCGGATGTTTTTGGAATTTTAACAATATAAATGCATATATCAGTGTACTTTCAAACTTTTTTAAAAACAATTTAAATTAAAGGTAGATAAATGACAAATTATTGATCTGTATAATTGTGTTGACCCAAATATAATATTATAATTTGATTAGATTAAAAAAAAAAAAAAAAAACATTGTATCACGCTCATATTTTAAATAAACATATACCTAATATTAAAAAAATATAAAAATGAGAAGTTATATACAATTAATTTAACATTTTTAATACTCAAAGTAAAATACATTTTATCCTGCATATTTTAAAGCTTATTCTTTGATTAAAAAATGCATATTTCATGTTTTCTTTGTGCACATTTTGAATGTATATTAGGTAATTTTTTACAAGGCTGGGCAAGTTAATGATATTTTTAACTCGGTTAAATTAAGTTAATTGAGTTCATGTTTAATTAAGTTAACAATTAAGTTAATTCATATGAGAATTACTTAAATTATTAAAAATATTGTTAAATGAACTTAAGTTCAATTAATAATACTATACGGAATATTTTTATATTGTTTGCAATGGCTCAATGCATATATTTTCCTGATTTAGAGTATAAATACATGCACATTTAACACTTTTTTTATGCATCAAATTCACAACCCTAACAATGAATAATGGAAACAGAGCGAAACACGCGAAAACTATTCTGCTACCTAGTGTACATGCGCGACACCGTATACACAATTTGTTCATTATTGGATGTTTCACCTGTGTTTTGGACTGTCGTACATTAAACCAAAACATGTTTATATGCTGGTACGATGGTGGAAATAAAATAAATAAAGCACACCGATCGTGTTGGATGTTGTACGCCCGACCTACCGCAAAAGATGTACGAGGTTTATCTGCAGCGAGCTGATGACACGACGCGTGCAAAATACCATTACAAATTTGAAATCCCTGAAAGGCGAACAACAAAAATCAATGTAAACCCGATCGAGCTTAATCTTTTAGACGAGGATAATGCGAGAGACGTTTGTGTGCCAGACCACGTATCCGCGTATTCCCCGCGGGATGTTTCGCAGAGCAATTAGACCCCAGTTCACATTTTATCTTTTTTT